TGATAAGTGCTCAAATTGCATATTTTTATGCTTAATTTGGCACTCTTTTTGGGAGAGATGTAAGTAATTTTGGTTGTATTTGACCCTCCAAATAGATGAACTAAGATTAATCTAAGGAGTTACAAGAGTGTAGTTTCTTTGGCTGAAAATATTTCCTTTTTGTGTAGGTTTTGATGAAGTTGGAAATCCAAGGCTATAGCCCCAAAGCCAAAGCTGCAGCCATGAATCCTGAACCAAAAAGAAGTGTTCCAGAGAGTTAAGGCTATAGCTCCAGAGCCAAAGCTGCAGCCTCGAAACAAAGAGGTATTCCAGAGAGTTGAAGCTTTAGCCATGAAACCAGAGCTCCAGCCTTGGAACATTTTGGGCAGTCCATAAATTCAGAGCTACAGCCCCCAATCCAGAGCTGCAGCCTTGGGTTAAAAATCCCAACTTTCCCTTGGACAGAACGTATTTTAGGGCACGAAAAGAAGGAAAAAAGGGACCGAAGAGAAACAAAAAAACGAAAAGAAAAATAGAGAGAAAGATCACCCAGGAGAAGAGGAGAGCTTGAAGATTAGACTTGAAGATTGGCTTGCTTGGGAACGAGGATCCATCTTCATTTCTTCTCTTCTATTGTGTAATCTCATCTTGTTATTTGCTATGGCCCTCACCATGAGTGGCTAGTTTCTCTTGGATTGGATTCAATATAACTACTAACTCTATTTCTTCTTAGATCTATATGATATTCAATTCTATTACTTGTGTTTGATTCTTCTTTTAATGCTTAATCCGGTTTGATCACCCGTTTTATGATATTAGGTTTTTGAACTTTGTTGGGAAACATTTTCAAAACCCTGAACAAAATCATTCACCTAATAATCTCTTGTTCTAGGAATAGACTTGATTTTGTTAGCCATTTTGGTTCAAGTTATTGTTTTAATGCAAGGTGTTAATCTTAAATCATAGAGGAATCATGTTTAGGGTTAATCACCTTAGGGCTCAATTTTGAGGAATCTGGTTGAGCTAATTATTGAACATGGAAGTGATTGAAGTGGAATCATATTTATTTGATGAAGATTAAAAGAGTTAGAAAGTACATTTGAATCCAATCTCTTTCTCGTATAAGGTTTTCTGTTACATTCACACTATTGCTTTTAATTGCTTTATTATAAACTTAAATCAATATTTCATTCATGTTCTCTGTAAACAAGAAAGGAAATTATTAATATTCTCAAACCCCTAAAGACGATATCAAATTACTACAACGAAGCTTGGATCCAAGGCTACAACTTTTATGAAGACTATAAGGTCAAATTCTGAAACACAAATGCATGCCCGGCGCGTTAAGTGCGCGCCCGGTGCAATTCTCAACCAGAGACCTGTAAATTCTATTGCGCCCAGCGCTGTCCCCATCGCGCCCAGCGCGATTCGCCCAGAAATTACCCATTTCAAGTCGCGCCCAGCTCGAAGAACTGAGCCCGACGCGAATTCAAAAATTTCACCAAAACCTGCGAAAAGTACCGGGAAAACAACATGCAAACCATCCAAAAGCTTCCTCTTTCATCAAACATCAACAAAAACGTTCCATTTTCGACATGCAATCACAAAATCATCAAAACCCCAAAAATTTATCCAAACTCCGAAACCCCCCACCAAAACCCATTTTTAGAAATCTCAACTCGACATCCCGCATCAAATAGCAAAGGAGTTTCGGGACTCATTCACAGCCAAAATACACAAAGTAACTAGCTTCCCTTACCTTGGTTCAAGAATTTCCGAGCTCCGGGAGGAAGAAGCGGAAGAAAATGGAGAAGAAAAAGCAAGCTTGATAACTCTCCGCACGGCTCCGAGAAAAACCAGCACCTACTCAACACACCCAGCTAGCAAACCAATCCCCTACTCAGCACCACCACCTAATGGTTCCAGAGAAACGAAATCAAGGCAAAGAGAGGGAAGAAGAAGGTGTGAGAGAATGATAGAGAAATTGGAGGGAGAAAAGTGAGAAAAGGGAGGAAGAGCTGCGGGTCTCACATAAAACGTGTAATTAAATAAAAAAATAGAGTTTAATTTTCATACCCAATCACAATATATATCAACTAATTAAAACTTGTCTTTATTATAACTTGTAAAGTAATAATTACAATAGTCAACAATGTTAATATACCAATTTGGTGGCCGTAAAAAAAATATTTTACAATATCACTGCGTTCTAATTCAATTCATGAAAATAATAATTCACTTGTTTAATAGGAGAAAAATGTGGGAAGATTTACGCATGAATACGGTTTAACAGCAAATCATCAAATTTATCACTTTCATAATGATTTACTCTTATGTTCTGATTAAAACTTGAAGTACAGATGAAAAGAACTTATCCAAAAAATTTGTCACACATGACTCGCAAGATATTCTTATTTGTTTTTACCTTGTAATCAGAAAAAGATACAAACAAAAAAACAAAACTAAATTAACAGATGAAGCTATCACATCATCTTTTTGGAATAAAAGCAGAGACAATGCATGCTTTTGTTTTTCTTATGACTATGGTGGGGCTCTATAAAACTTACATGCAACTTACAGTTTCAACAAACAAATAAACAAAAATGTAAAACTAAGAGACTATTTTTAGAAAATATTTTTTGATTTTACTAATTTATAAAAAAATTGTCATATTATTTCTTAGTGTAAATTTTTTGATAGACAATTTATTTATATTAAATTATACTTTTGATCCTTCTATTTTTATTAATTTATAATTTTAACTTTTATTTTAAAATAAAAATATTTAAATTAAACATTAAAATTTAATAATTAATAGATATTAATATGATGAAAAAATTAAAATTTTGTATTTTTAAAATTAAAGAGACTAAATATTCTAATTTTAAAATAAAAAGATCAAAATTATAAATTAATAAAAATAGAGGGATAAAAATGTTATTTAACTATTTATTTAATAGGAATTTATTTATCTAATAATAAAAGAAGATTAAAACATTTTTTTAATCTCTAATTTTCACTTACTTTATCTTCTAGTCCTTATACTTTAAAATACATTTTTTTAGTCTCTATACTTATCTTTTTTAATTTTTTAGTCCCTACAATTTAAGATATATATTTTTTATAATCATTTTAATTCTTATTATTAAGTTTTTTTGTAGCATTACTTTTTTGCATTGACATAATAGAAAATTTTTTATTTTATGAGAATAAAAAAAATGTGTTCCAATGTCAACACAAAATTGACAATGTTACAAAAAAAATTAACAAGAGGAAAAAATTGTAAGTATAAAAACTAAAAAATATATTTTAAATTATAAAGATTAAAAAAATAATAAAATAAAAACTAAAAAAAATATATTTAAAACTATAAAAACTAAAAAATAAAATATATAAAACTACAAACACTAAAAACATATTTTATTCATTAAAAAAAAAGTGCTTATGTAGTCATATGAAGACACAGACATTTCTACAAACCTCTTTATACATGCAAAAGCCAAAGCCTGTCACAACCCCCCTTTATTCTTCTTCCATTGTTTGGCACGTTGAAATGACGTCCTGCATGATGTCAACAATGTTGAACATTATACAAACAGAGACAGAAAACGATGTCCATTAAAGGTAGCAACTTAAATTGAAGCTTCCATTAAATGATATTTGTCTCAGAAAACATAAGATGTATTATATTTTTGAAAAAACTATCCACCAAATGAATTGACATGTTATTGTTTTTATCTGTAAATTTGATTTGTATGTCACTTCATCTTATCCACCAATTCCATCCCTTAGTCAAATTTTGTTATGATTCTTATCAGGATTAATTCTCTTTGACTGCAACTCTAGTAAAATTATTCTCAGTGGAAGTGCATACTAAAAACCAAAGCCCGGATAGGTCTGCACATTATCTGAATTTATAATTATTTTAAAATGTAGCATTTAATTTTTGTATATTATTGGTCTAAAAGTTTGTACAAGTCAATCAATAAAAAAATCATTAAAAGTATGATTTTAAAAATAATTATTATAAAAATCAATAAATTTATTCTCGATAACAATTTGCAATGTGATGACAGAATAAATTGTCTTACATGGACTATTTTTTGTAATTTTTTTATATGAGAAATTCCCCAATAGGTCAAATTGAAATTCATGATCCTTATAAAAGTCAACACATATTACAAAATTATAATATTTTTAAAACATGAAAATCATTTTTACCCTATAATAAAATCAAGTATTTATTGAATAAATGAAATAATAATTAACAAAAACCATTTACAAAATTACCTGCAACTTTGTGGTACGCTCCAAGATGGATGTGACTGTTTTTTCTCATTTTCAGACAATGACATATACTTCTTCCAATCTTCAAGCAAAATTTTAAGATCATTGACCTTGTTGTTTAAACCAACACAACAATTGGCATGCATTGTGGAAACCTTGTTAAAGTCCTTGCTAGCCTGACAGAACCCTCCAAAATAACCAGTGCTAAGGAATCTGATCTTTAGCTCCATGTCAGAAATGAAAGGGTGCTTTTTGATCTTGTTGAGCACATCTTGATCATGCATTTTTGGATAGGAACTCCTAGAGCGTAACCAGAACTTGTAGAACCAAATAGTTCGCTTATTCGATTTCACATAATTAAACCCTCCATTTGGTAGGTTGTTTAAGTCAAAGGAATTGCCATTGAAAAAATCACAAGCTATTTGGAAATCTGCATCTTTGTAAAATTGTTTGAAGGGATTTCTAAGCCACATTATATCAGTATCCTGCAAAGGAAAAATAAAAATAAAACATTTGATGACTTTTAACTTTTATGCAATGATAGTATAAATTTTTTTTACATTCTCAATAAGTCATGTTAGAGATGACTTGCAATGTAAAGATTTTAAGAATCTTCATGGCAAAACAAATATATGTACCGTGAACACAAAGTTGTACCCCATATCAAGGACCCAACCAAGGAATTCAATTCTTCTCCACATCATGTGTAGGTAATCTGGGGTCATGAAAAATGCTTCACCGGTGAAATTGTCACCCTTAGTTTCAAGTTGGTAACAATGCTTGTTCAAAGCAAGGCAACGAGCATGTGCCTTTTGGTCCAATGTTATTACCACCAAGTGATTTAAAAGCTTTTGTGTTTGGATTCCTAGCCGAAAACTCTCAAGAAAGAGGTCAAATATGGAACCTGGCTCAGCCCATGCATCATTTAAAGTTGTGAGTATCACTGTCTTATCCTTCATAGACGCGCTCCTGAGAACACTCTCTAGCATTGGATCAAAATCAGCCTGATGCATACAGCCAAAACTTCATCAAACACTTGGTAACACAAGTTCATATTTCACAGAAGCATTTTATCAAACACGTGAGGGGTAATAAGACAAGTGAAAAAATAAAACAATCCAATCCCTTTCTAGCTTGCAAGAGCTCAAATAATGAGATTAATGTAATCCACAATGGTTAGTAAAACATCCAAAAGAAAAAAAAAATGGCAAAATTACATTCAAAACATCAAATAGGAAGACAAAATATGTGCTAATTGGGGCATAAACAAACATAAACATCAATGCAATAAAATGGTCCCCTACATTTGCATACATAACAAGACTAGTGGATCATATGGCTATTTAGGGTGAAAATTGTTGACATCCTAACTCTCACTAACATGTAAGTATGCAACTATAGAATGTAGCTGACAATGTGAACTTATCACACTACTATTATTGATGCTGGCAACCACAAAGAATATTATCTCAAAAAGGAAATTACATCTCTTTATTCCTTTCCCACTTATGTACCCATAATCAAACAATGGCTTGTAGCCACTATAGATCATGCTGGCCCTTCTGCCTAAAAAATGCAACTACAGTCAATTTCATCTTTAGCTTTTTATGGCATGCGTTTCTCGTACATGTATGAATAAATTGGAAATAATGTCTATAATCTTAGAACTTTTTTACACAAGCTTAGAATCGCTTTTAAGAACTTATCTACATAAAAAAAAATTCTTAAAAGTATTTTTAATTTGTATTCTAATAAACTCTAAATCAATAATGATAATGATAGTCAAGAATAAGTCTACATTTGGACAGCCACGTGGACAGCTGGTTATGTCTGATGGTCTGTGTTGGCACATGGTTCACTAATATGGTCACAACATGCAACATTATGGCCTTAGAAAAATATTAATAAGGAGGTGAGATTCTTGAAATGAAATAAAAAATAATAATTAATCAACTCTGATTATCTAAAATACATCTAGTCTCGTATGAATGCAAGTAATTAAAAAACTTAAATACAACAATGTTGTGGATTCAAACGTAACTGATAAAGTATTGATGTCTGTTGTGGCTAGCTTAAATCACGAAACAGATGGTCAATTTCAATTTTATATTTTTTTGTGAATAGAAATAGAAAGTCAATTTTAATACTACCAGTAGTAGAATTATGTCAATTGTTTTTCAACAATAATTGATTCTCTTCGCCTCATAATCTATTCAACTTACAAACCCGCTACTTAAACTCAATGTGTAATTAATATTTCGTATTGAATGAGCGTAAAGAAAATAGAGATTTTCGAATTAAAATATCCATCAGGGCAAGTTTGGATTAAAAAAAAAGAAGATGTTTTAAAACTTTACTTGCTCCAAAAACGTACCCTGGTCATTTACTCTTTCGAAACAGATTTTTTTTTCTTTTAATGTATTCTATTTTCTTATCAAATTATTATGTCTTACTATTAAAACACAATATTATAAAATAATATTGAGATAATAATTATAATAATATAATATAATAATTAACAATAATAATTTTAATTAATTTAATTATCGAATTATCTTATTTATAAAATACAAATATGCAATCTGAACCAATTAAGATTAGATTTAATTGGTTTGAAATGGATTTCAACTGATATAAAAAAATAATTTAATTAATTTGATTTAAATAATTAATTTCACGAATGTTACTAAATAAAAATATATCATTTGAAAATAAAATCATAATGGGGATCCAATAAAGTAAAGCACACTTTAAAAATCCATATTCTTAATCTATTTTCAATTTTAAAATAAATCTATTTTGTAATATTTCTTTCAAACATTACTAAAAGCTACAACAACGTTTTAACTCTTGTAATAAGAAAAAAATTTTCAAAAATTAATTTTATCATGATAATTTTAATAAATATTTTTAAATATGTATATTACCTTTAAAAACAAATAATATACAATACTTATGAGACAGTGACTTGCTCTCAAAAAAGAAAACAGAGAGACAGTGACTATATCAAGTTCTTCACCAAAAATGAAAATAGCACTAATTGTTGGTGTGCATTTAATATTGTGCCTCGTATGATCCTTGTAAGATAGCAAAACCAAAATTTCCATTGGTATATTAATTAAAAAAAAAAACCATTTGTATATCCCAAGTTCAGGATATATTTGATAGAGAGAGAAAGAGGAAGGGAATAATTCACCATAAATTAATCAATCAATTAATATCATCAAAACTTGAAATCTTTTATAGATACATATTTCTTTTTTTTTTTTTCTAAAAAAGGTTTAAAACGAATCGAGTTCCGTAAGAGCTTAGAAAGTTTTCAAGATTTTATGAACACTTATATTTACAAATTATTCACTAATAAAATCTTTACATACTTGTCATTTTTATATATATAAAAAAAAAAAAAAAAAAAACCTGTCCCCAAAATCCAAAAGAAAAAAAAATCCAATTCCCAATCACAAACACATCTATTCAAAACATGCATATGAAAATCACATACCTATAGGACTTGGAAATTTTTATCCAATGCCATGTTTACAATTATCAATAGTATTTTTTTAAAAGGTACAATCAACAGTAGCAAGAGGAGAGAGAAGAAAAAAAAAAAACACTCATCTTCACAAGTCACAATTTTTCAAATGGTGCCAAATTTACAATTAACAAAATTAATGGAGTGTATTGAATCAATGAGATGCATGTCCAATCAGCAACGGTAATATTTTAGAAGAAGAAACCCCACTCGCCACTACCCTTCTTTTTGGGCAACTTTTCCTTGTCAGTTACAAATCCATGATGAACCTTCTTATCTTTATAAGGATCTCAGAATTTTCAAAAGACAAGATTGGCTGAATAATGGTTAGGTTGTGAATTTGTGATTTAATCATTTTAACATTATCTTAACTTTCAAACCATGATCTAAGTCAAACTAACAGTGTGTTTGCACATGCGTTGAAACGTGAATTTTCACGTTTAATCGGAAAGAGAAAATAACAAATTCTCCGTAAATTAGTAAGTGAACGTGAAGAGAGAAAAAGAATTTACGTTTCAAAATTGAATTTGAAACCAAACACGCACTAACAAAAAGGGTTGTCTTTTCACTTGATCAATTATGCTATAAAATAACAATTTTAGGGAAGGAAACAAAAAGAATAAAACAGTGAGCTCCACAGAACAATGGCATAACAAGTTACATAAGCACTCAAAAAGAATGGTTCTTTTGTTCAAGTTTGGCTTCAAGAGAATAACCCAAATTGACCCACAAAAGCAAAAAGTTTGATCAACCCAATCACAAGCCAAGCTTCAGCACGAGAGCATAAAAAATAAAAAGCATCAAAACCCAAAATTTAAAAATTCAACCTTTTGATTGTTTTGCAAGAAAAATAAACACCCAAAAGCCTAAACCCCCCAAAATTCACTCCTTTTGTTCTCCTCCATTCACCACCAATTGCAAGACACAACTTGACACACCCACAAACATAGAGAGAGACAGAGATAAAATTACTCACTTTTGATGACTCATGAATGAAGTCATGTGAGAAGGAAGAGAATCCAAAGGGAGAGGCAGAGTTATAGAGAAACACCCACAACACACCAAACCCAACAAGGAACATGGTGGTGACTAGCATGGTCCTTCTCACCAAAAGGTGGCTGCCGGCGGCGGTATCCACGGCAGCGCCGGCGGAGGGGTCCTTCATTGTTTGAAGAGGTGAATTGGGGTGGCAAAATTGGTCACTTTGGCCTCTTGTGAGCAACACAATTATATTTGGTTATATGTATACACACACTATGCTTGTGTCACCTTTGCTTCTTTGTTATCACCACCACCAACATGTGTGTGGGTGTGTTTTTTTAGCATAGTTACAAAATTTAAGGATTTTCCATAGATGTTTTGCAACACTTTTGGAAATTACACATTTTATGGGGTGGAGGTGATCGATTGTGTGTTGGAGGAGAAAAACACGGGAATTGAAAATGAACAGTTTCAAATACAATATTAACTGAAGACAAGAGAGAGTCATGTTAGGAGCGAGACTGATCAAGTTGCAAAAGGAAACTTATTAATTATAAATTTGTTTTTATGAATTAATGTTAAATTATTGATATACAGACACATAAACTCGAGCGAAACAAAATGTTAAAATAGAAGGTTTTCTTTTTCTTTTTTTTTTCTTACAAGAACATAGAGTTAACAATACACTTGTGCGTGATTAAAATATGTTAAAAATTATTATAAGATTGTGTAAATCTCATTAAAAAGGAATAAAATTTACATATTTCTTATTTTTAATAAATTTAATTAATAATAAATAGTAGTATATCAGAAAGAATCTTATTAGTATTTCTCGTATGTATAATTGGGTATGCACTGCCAAAATAAACTAAGAATATATAATTTTAATAAACCATTATAAAAGTTGACAAAATATGACGTGTTGTAAGATATTATTATTCTATTAAGATTAAGACGTAGTACACCCAAGTTGCAAAAGGGGTGAGTGACCAGATTTCTTCTTTTTTATTTTTTATTTTTTATTTTTTTTACATTGGAAAATATGACGTGTTGTAATAGCGTGTGGTTTGCGTGAATCGAAATTTTGAAGTAGTTGAAAATTGAAATGGGTAGAGTCTTCGTTGGGGAAAGTCGAAATAGTTTCTTCAATGCTCAACTATTTTCCCCTTCAAATTTGAGTCAATTTTTTTTTTTTTTAATTTTTAAATTTTAAAATATTTTTTTAGTCTCCAATTTGAATTGTTCCTTTTTTAGTCTCTATTTTGTAGTCCCGTGTTAAAACCAAGAGTGAGTAGGTAGAGAGCGAACAAGAATTAAAAGGGAATTTTTTTTTTATAGACACAAATTGTGATTAAGAAATAATTCAACCATACTAATTAAATTAATAATTTTGGTGTACAAAAATAAAGTTAATAATTTAAGAAAAATAACTTACGTAAAATTGGGATTCTCTTCATCCCATAATAAATATTGTATTAGAAGAAAAAATTAATGTAATAATTTTATTGTGATATATTAATTATCTATTTTTCATTTATACCTCTAATAATATTATGTAAAAATTAAAAATTAATTTGTGTGTTGTATTGTTTCTAACATAAAAGATTAATCATAAAACTGATTTTGTATAATTATTATTCTCTTTCATTTACTAGTCTTGTTTGTGTTTATAAGATAAAACTTAAAATAATTGTATTTTTTTGTAGAAGTCTTAATTTATATTATCTTATATATTAATTATTTTTAAATTAAAATACTCTCAATTAAAGTGTGTTATATTAATTTGATAAAATATACTAATTAAAAATTCTTTAAAGATCATGCACTTTAATTAGTTTAGAAAAATAAGAGAAATAATATAAAATATACATTATAATTTATTAGAAAACATATATTAATGGTAGTTCAATAGGAATATATATATATATGATAAATTTATTGTTATTAATTAAATTAACTTTTTATTAAAAAATTTAACTACTTTTGTTAAGTATTTGAGTTTTATATTTCCTCTGAATCGATATGAGAAAAAAATGTTTATAAAGTCTTTTACTCAAATATAGTGTATATTTTATATAAAATCGTAAAAATAATAACACTATTTATAATTAATGTGATTAAAGATATTCTAGTAAATATAATATATTTTATATGAAATTATAAAAATTAATAGTACTCAACTAAATGAAATTGAATTTTTCTCGATCGAGGGATATATATATATATATATATA